CCAAAAAAAAAAAAAAAAAAGACTATGTCTAAGAAATTTAGACCTAATACCTAAAAGACAGAAAGTTTTTGTTTTTTTTTTTTTTTAGATTTTTTTCCATAGGACGTGTGCTTGCCAAAGAGGGGGAATAAATGAGAAATCACCCCCCCCCAGGGGATGGCCCCGCGGCAATCCCTTCTCCCTTTACTTCTCAGGATTTTGGGAATGTACAAGTTGGCGCCTGGCCAGATTGTCGGGCCACCAGGTCCAGGACTCAAAGTGCAGAGTTGGCCATGGAGATCCAGTGCCTTAACCATGTCGCTACTTCTTGTCCCCCAGAATCTTCTTAATTTATGTTGAAATATATGTATGTTTATGTCATTTACTCATTACTTTGTAAAAGTAAATTGCTTTTCTTAGAGGTAATCTTAAAAGAGTTCAGAGGATATAAAATTGAGAAGAATTGGGGGAAGTTTGTTGTTAATTGTTTCAGTATCTTTGTGAAAAAGAAAAGAAATTGAGTTTATGTTTACAGATTGCTTATATCTAAAATATTAATTTTGGTGCTTGAAATCTGTTTTTCGGCTTTCTTAGTTGAACATGCTTTTTCTTGTGATTAGTTATGATTATCATGAGTATATTTTTTAAGTTGTGTATTATGTGGTCCGCATTGATTGAGCTTTTCATGTTTTATGTTCGTTTTTTATTATTAGGAGAACTTGAATGTGAAAGTAAAGTTGTTAATACTGTTTTTTCTTTTCATTTTTCCTTTCTTTCTTTTTCTCCCTAAGAACTTTGACCAGAATAAGCTGGAAGAAGAAATGAGAAAACGAAAAGAAAGAGTAGAAAAGTGGCGAGAAGAACAGCGGAAAAAGGCCATGGAAAACATAGGGGAACTGAAGAAAGAAATTGAAGAGATGAAACAAGGGAAAAAGTGGAGTTTAGAGGACGATGATGGTATATTTGTTAGCCTAAAAAAACTTACAAAATAATTTATGGGGACCGGCAGGTGGCATGGTGGTGGTGGGTGCTGGAATCCTACACGGCCGACTTGATTTCTCACTTTCTTCTCTCTCTGTCCCTCTGTGGTCAAATTAAAATAAATGAGTAAATGAATAAGTAAATAAAGTTAAATGAAATAATTCTAAAAATAAAAAATTTACATAGATATTTTTAGAACTATGAATAATTCTTTTTTTCTTGAGAGATTGTTGCTATAGGGTGCATGTGCTCATCAGAGAAAGAGAGACAGAAAGCAGGAAATCATTCCCTAGCAGGGATGGCCATGCTACAATCTCTTCTCTTGGGATTTTCGGCACACACGTACTTGTGCCCAGTGTGAGCTTTAAGCTTCCAGGGTCTGGGTCTCAAACTGGAGTCAACTATGTGGGAGTCCAATGATAAAACCATTACACCATCTACTGGTCCCTACAAGTAATCTTCCATATTGGGGTTTTTGGCTTATTTATTTTAGAAATATATATGTAATATTTGCCATTTTAATCATTTAGAAGTGTCCACTCAGTGATAATATGTACAGCTATCACCACAGTCCAATTCCAGAACCTTCTGTAATTTCAAACAGAGCCTCTAAACCCATTAAACAGCTTCTTAATCTTGCCTCCTCCTGGCTCCTGGTAATGTCTGTTCTATAATGTTGCCTATTGTAGGTCCCTCATATAAGTGGAATCATATGGTATTTTTTCTTTTTTATCTGGCTTATTTTAATTTTTCAAGGTTCACTCATATTATAGAATGTGTTAGAATTTTTTTCTTTCTACAAATGAATACCATTGTATGTATATGTCACATTTCGTTTACTCATTTATGTGCTGGACATGGGGGATGTTTCAGCTACTGTAAATAACGCTACTGTGAACACTAGTGCGGAGATAATTGTTTTTGGTTCTCAATTCTTTTGAGTTTATACTTGAAGGTGGAATTGCTGGATTCACACTGAGATTTTAAATGTCCCTTTTAATGTTCATGTAAAAAATCAAATTGTAGTATTCAGTAAGAATAATTGATTTTACTTTAAAATTAAGAGTCGATTGCTTATAGGCGTAATTAGTAAATAGCTCTTAATTTTTTTAAAAGTATAAATACAGATACTAGTAATGAGAGTAAATTAGGGCATGCTCTCTCAGGTCCTTCTGTGACTTTTCATAATTTAGGAGAAAAGCATTTCCCTTCTGTATGTTACTTGGACTTTTGAGGTTTTAGTGACGGGAAAGGTTGTGGGATTTTATCTGAAGGTAAAAGTGTGGTCCATTTTCTTTGAATGTTTGACAGAGGAGTATAGACAGGCGGAGTCTGTGTAAGTGGTCACGATGGTTTAGTTATGTAAAAGATAAGCTTGTTTAAAATTGAGAGTGAGCTGCTTTTTTTTGTGATTGAAAGAAATAATTTTAAAGGTTATTTAAAAGAGAATTTCTAGTTCTGCTTCCAGCAGTGTAGCTGTAAAATGTGATAGTGAGCCATCAGGTGACTTGGAGGTTAAGGCATTGGATCCCACATGGCCTACTATGCAGTTTGAATTCTGGATCCAACACCCTGAAAAACATGCTGGGCATGTATGTGTTGCATGCCTGGTCAAAATCCCATGAGAAAGGAGGAGAAGGGATTGTGGAGTGGCCATACCCCTGGGAGGATGATTTCTTACTTTCCCACTTTGTGTTTCTCTGGTGAGCGCATATGGCTTATAGCAAAAACTTAAAAAAAAACAGGTGATAATGAAGATTCATTTTTTTTTAGGTTTAATTTTTTTCAATGAAATAACTTGAAATTTATTGGCATTTGATTCTTTTATCGTTTTAAAGTAATTTACAAGTATGCGTATTTCAACTGTAGTATGGCCAGACGGATTTGAAAGGGGAGTGTTTGGTTAGTGAGAGAAAAGGTTAGAAAGGTGAGGTGTGGTCTAATTGTGTTTTACTTTTGAAACAAATGTTCAAAGAAAGCATATTTCGAAATTTTAGATGATGAAGATGATCCAGCAGAAGCTGAAAAGGATGGAAATGAAATGGAGGGTGAGGAATTAGATCCATTAGATGCTTACATGGAAGAAGTGAAAGAAGAGGTCAAAAAGTTCAACATGAGAAGTGTAAAAGGTGGTGGAGGAAATGAAAAGGTATGGAATTTTCTCTTTAAAAGATTCATATTTGTATTTCTTATGGGATAACTTGAATTCATCTAATGGTTCTAGTGACATCAGATACTTTGTAAAAGTAATTTCTTTTTTAGCTTTATTTATGCATTTATTGTGGCCAGAGAGGGACACAGTGAGAGAAAGAGAGACAAAGTGAGAAAGCAAGCAGCTAGGTCCAGGACTTGAACTGCGGTCAGCCATGTGGGAGTCCAGTGGCCTTAACCGTCATGCCACCTGCCGGTCCCTAAAAGTAATGTTTGTATTTTCTCTGTCTCATAGATGACAATAGTCTTCCTTCCTTTACTTCCTTCCTTATTTGCTAGAGGAACATGCATTCACTAAAGAGAGAGAGGGAGAAGGTGTCAATGGAAATGTGTGAGAAGCACCCCACTAGGATGGTGTCCATGCCACAATCCCTTCTCCATTCTCCTCTTGAGATTTTGGCCACCCATGTGATAACACCAGGTATGTTTCCTAAGCCACCTGGTCCAGGACTTGAACTGTGTAGTCAGTCATGTTTGATCCGTCCTCCTTAACCACCAGCAGTACTTATTTCTGAGTGCCAGAGAATGGTGAATATTAGCTGCAAATGTTCTCTTTCAGAAGCCACTCTTGGCCATCTTTAGGTGTACAGGGAGAATTCAGAAATCCTAGAATGCTAAGGCCAAACAAGAAGGTCCCAGGTTCACATCCTTAGGCTTCCCTGCGTATGCCAAATGTGTGCATGCTTGTGATCCTGGCTTACTGAGGTTGGTTGTGGGTTGTACTTTTTTTTTTTTTTGCCTTTTTTTCTGTCTCCCCCCCTTTTTTTTTTTTAAAGAATTTATTTATTTAATTCCATTTGTTATTATTGTTGTTCTTAATTTGGCCAGAAAGAGACAGAAAAGGTGAGAAACAAAGCCGCTAGGTTCAGGACTCACTTGGGAATCCAGCACCTTTATCTACCATGCCACCTGCCGGCCCCTTTTTTTCTGTCTTTCATGGAAGAAATAAAAATAGACTTTTAAAAAGTTACTATTCCAGGGCCGGCAGGTGGCGTGGTGGTTAGGGGCACTGGACTCCCATGTGACTGACTGCAGTTTGAGTCCCAGACCTGGCAGCTTGCTTTCTCTCTCTCTCTCACTCTGTCCCTCTCTGGGCAAATTTAAATAAATAAATAAATAAATAAATAAATGGATAAATAAAGTTAAATAAAAATAATTCTTAAAAAAGTTAATTTCCTCTCAACATTTTTTTTTTTTTTTTTGAGAGGTTTTTACTATAGGGCGCATGCGCTCGCCGGACAGACAGAGAGAAACATAGAGACAGCAAGAAATCATCCCCCCCAGAGGGGATGGTCACGCCGCAGTCCCTTCTCCTCCATTCTCCTCTTGGGATCTTGGGCACGCACGCACGTGCGCCCGGCCTGAGTTTTAAGCCACTAGGTCTGGGATGCGAACCATGGTTGACTACGTGGGAGTCCAGCGACGTAGCCATTACGCTAACTGCTGGTTCCCCCCTCAACATCTTCTTTGTTCAGTGTTGTTGTTTACATGTCACCTTTTTTTTTTTTAAACAGAGAAATAGAGTTTATTCAGTTCATGGTTTGGGGGTCTGAGTTCCAGGTGCCAAATTCTGGTGAGGCTATAACATGGCAGAAGGCAGATCTCAAATGGATAGTCTGTCTTTCTCTCATATGTCACTTTTTTTTTTTAAGTTATCTGCTTTTTCTTTTTTTTAAATTAATTTTTATACATTCATTCATTTATTTTTAATTGGACAGAGAGAGAGAGGGGGAGAAAAAGAGCGGAAGTGAGAAAGCAAGCCACCAGGTCCAGGACTTGAACCATGGTCAGCCATGTGGGAATGTCCAGCAGCTTAACCACCATGCCATTTGCTGGTCTCCTACATGTCACCTTTTTGATAAGTCGTCTTCAGATTTTAACAGCACTCCCATCTTTCATACTCTTGAACTCCTCCCACCCTGTTATTATTTTTTAAGTTTATTCATTCTGTTTATGAGGGAGCAAAGATATGAAGAGCATCCTTACCATGATCTCATTACTCCACAGTCCTCTTCCTGGAGTCCTCTAGCTTGGCAGGATCGTGGGTGCATGTGTTAGGTTAACTGGGGATTTATACTCAGAGTTGACCGTGTGGTTTCCAGCACTGTAGTTCAGTGTGGTACTGCATGTGCCGCTGGACTTCCTCACCCCATTCTGTTTTTATTTGTAGAATTTATTACTTTGGGTAAGTTATTTTATTTACTTTGTTTTGGTGTTTATGGTTTTGTTCCTTACCACCTCTAAAAATATGTGCTCTCCAAAGATAGTGCTCTTGCCCTTCCTTTTTTTTTTTTTTTTTAAAGAGTGATTTTTATTATAGGGCATATGCGCTTGCCAAAAGGACAGAAAGTGAGAAATCACCCTCCAGGGGGATGGACACACCACAGTCTCCTCTCCTCCATTCTCTTCTCGAGATTTTGGGCACACACGCACACAGGCCCAGCATGAATTTTGAGCTGCCAGGTCCAGGCCTTGAACTGTGGTTGACTGCGTGAGAGTCTAGTGATGTAACCACTACACTATCTGCTTGTCCTTCCTCCCTTTTTTAAAAAAGTTTTGCTATAGGGCATGAGTACTCATGGGGTGTGGAGGGGTGTGAGTAATCAAATCCCAGGGGCAAGGGTCACTCCATAGTCCCTTCTCCATTCTCTTCTTGGGGTTTTAGGTATTCATGCACATGTGACGGACATGTTTTTTTTTTTTCCCCCCTTAAAGAATTTTTTAATTCTACTTCCTACTATTGTCATTCTTAAAAATTATTTATTTAACTTTATTTGTTCATTCATTTATTTTTAATTTGACCAGAGAGAGACAGAGAGAATTGGTGAGAAAACAAGCTACCGGGTCCAGGACTTGAACTGTGGTCGGCCATTTGGGAGTATCCAGCGCCTTAACCAGCATGCCACCCACTGGTCCCTATTATCATTTTTTTCTTGAGAGAGAGATTTTTGTTATAGGGCATGCACTTGCCTGAAGAGATAGACAGAGAGACAGAGAGACAGAACCTGAGAAATCACCCTCTGGGGGGATGGGCCGCACCACAGGCCCTTCTTATTTTTGGACATGCATGCACACATGCCTGGCATTAGTTTTAAGCCACCATGTCCGGGACTCAACATTCCTTTATGGGGGAGCCCAGCGCCTTAACCGCCACGCCTCCTGCTGAACCTGCCCTGCATGTGTATCAAACCACCAGTACTGCGACTCAGCCTCGCAGCTGTCCACATACAATTCAGCTGCCTTACTACCACACCACTGTCTGGCCCACAATAGTGATCTTTGCCTGCAATTATTTTTTTTCCAAAGAACTATTTTATTCAACTTCCTTTATTTTTAAAATTTGACCAGAGAGGCATAGAGAGAGAAAGTGAGAAAGTAAGTTACCAAGTTGAGGACTTGAACCGCAGTTGGCCTTTTGGGAGTCCAGCGTCCTTTACCATCACACCACCTACTGGCCCCACCTGCATTTTTTTATAGATTGGTGTAAGCTCCCAGAACAGTTCCTGACTTGTCTAATGATTGAAAGTACCCTTTTGTTGTATTTAAAATATATTATTATATAAAGCTATATAATACATAATAAACTGTATGTATGAATGTATTAGATTTCACTTAAACTGTATGTATGAATGTATTTTATTTCACTTAAAAAACTACAGATAAATTGTGGAGAGCAGCCAATCTAAAAACATGTGATTAAAACATGTGGCCTGTAGACACATGCAAATATGCGCTTCAGTAAGCTACTCTAGCATGACTATTAAAAACATCTCCATATGAAAGCAGTACCTGCCTGTTGTCAATTATTGTCTTCCTGTTATCGTTGATACCCAATACCTTGATACTGCCCAATATCAGGCTAAAGGAAGTCCTAAGCGTTTATCAGATTGTCCCCCAAAAAATCAGAGAAATTATATGGTGCCAGTCATTTTCACATTTTTAATTTACATCCCAAAACAACTGGCTTTACATTCCAATTTCTCCTCCCTTATTCTTTATATTCTACTTCTTTATTCCCCATTCCTTTTACATCCCATTTTCCCCTTCCCCCATTTTCTGCCCTATAAGAAGGAAACCTGAGGCTGGTTCTGGTTGCAACTTCTCCATCAGAGAAGCTGTGCCCACCCAATGCTGGCTTTTCTATACCTGTGTGTCTGTGTGTGTTTGTTATTGCATCTATTTCTAATCGGCAGCCTTCCCCACTCAGAGAAACGTGTTCATGCCGAGCTAGTCCCAACAATGAATAGAGCAGTAGATTACTGCTTGTCTTTTTATTAAATTTTAACTAATAACAAAGTTAATTTTAATTATAAATTGTGACAGATATCATTGTGTTCAGTTGGTGTATGGCTTGTGTTTCAAGTTTGCAAAATATTTACTGTTCTTTTCTATTTTAGAAGTCCGGACCAACGGTAACAAAAGTTGTCACTGTTGTGACAACCAAAAAAGCAGTCGCAGATTCTGATAAGAAGAAAGGCGAGCTGATGGAGAATGACCAGGATGCCATGGAGGTGATTCTTTCTTAATTTTGACTTTGTTCCTGATCTAGACGTATTAGAAAACATTGATAGAGATGAACTTTTCAGTTGTGCAAACTATTAGGAGGAATTCTTGCTATTCTTAATATAATAGTTTGTGGCTAAATATCCAGTTGATAGAGTGATCTGGCATCTTTCATCCCTTGTGAATACTCGTTTTTTGATACCTTTGTATCTTAGATATATAATGCAGAGAGAAGAAATTAAGTTACAGAATGAGTTCGATTTCTTCATATTAGTATGTATTGTGAATTTTTTCCCCAGAAATTAAAAAGAATTTATTATTATTTATACATTTAATCACTACATCATTTAGATTATAAAGAGACTTTACACAGCAGGATATGCACCTCAGATTTCAGAAATATTTTTCTATAGGGCGCATGAGCTTACCATACAGACGGACAGAAAACAAGAAATCATCCCCTTGGGCGATGGCTATGCCACAATCCCTTCTCCATTCTCTTCTCGGGATTTTGGAGATACATGCACATGCATCTGGTGTGAGTTTTAAGCCTTCAGGACTTGAACTGCAGTCCACTATGTGGGAGTCCAGTGATGTAATCATTATTGCCATTTGATGTCCCTGTAAAGGTGTATATAGCAAGAATAGTAGCAAAATTTGATTGAAGTCATCTCTGAGAATTATTATTTTAGCTTTATGTTGGTATTATCAATTTCTTTTTCTTTCTTGGAGAGGTTTTTGCTATAGAGCGCGTGCGCTTGCCAGACAGAGACAGAAAGCGAGAAATCACCCCCCAGGAGGGTTGGCCATGCCGCAGTCCCTTCTCCTCCATTCTCCTCTCGCGATATTGGACACACACGCACACGTGCCTGGCGTGAGTTTAAGCCACCGGGTCCAGGACTCGAACCGCAGTCGACTACGTGGGAGTCCAGCGACATAACCATTACGCTAACTGCTGGTCCGGCATTATAAATTTCTGTAGGGTCAGAAGAAAAGAAACTAAGTCAAAAAATTCTTTAGGTGCTGATGTGTTTCTATTTATTGTGATACGTCATTAGATGATTTTGAAATTATCCAGCAGTTCACTGGAGTATCATGAAAATCTTATAGGTCAAATAAATCTGTTTAGAAAGTAAAAGTAGGAAACTAACAAATAGTTTCTAGGAGGAGGATTTTAAAATCTAGAGCTGTTATTTCCAATAAGGGGAAGATAGTAATGAACTTACCTCTTTTCTTTTTATTTTTACTATAGTATTCTTCAGAGGAGGAAGAAGTTGATCTTCAGACGGCCCTTACAGGCTATCAGACAAAACAAAGGAAGCTTCTTGAACCAGTTGATCATGGAAAAATTGAATATGAACCATTCAGAAAAAACTTCTATGTTGAAGTTCCAGAACTAGCAAAAATGTCTCAAGAGGGTAAAAATTATTTACTCACATAATGACTATGGGGGAATGGAGGGGAATCTGCTTTACGTTGTCTAGGAAGAGTGCAGATAGACCTGTGAGTTGAAGGAATGTCTTTATGCGAGTGTCTAAAAACTGAACAGACCTGTGAGTTGAAGGAATGTCTTTATGCATTTGTCTAAAAAGTGAGCAAAAGGTAATCTAGCTCATGTAGTTGCAATTTTTAAGGCTGAAGATAGTCTATTTCTGAAGTTGCAAATGAAGTATTTCTGTGAATGTTATTCTCCTGCGATTTTTGAGTTAGGAACCTCCGTGAAACTGTATTATTGGTTGATTAAAAATAACCTGGGCAATTCTTGGTAGGAGAACAAGTGGTTGTATTATTTGTCAGTCATTGTTCTTTTTCTTGTGCTTTCAATTTAAGGTTAAAAAAAAATGGGGGCAGCAGCCCTGTTGTGCAGTAGTTAAGGACTGAGTGTAGGAATGCTAGATTTTGCATGACCAATCAGGGTTCGAATCCCAGCCCTGATGACTTGTAAAACATGCTAGGCTTGTGTTCGTCCCTAGGATCCTGACAGGGTGGAGAATTAGAGGAAAAAGGATTGCTGCACATCAGACCTCATTAGGCGGTGCTTTCTCTCCCTGCCCTTCGTTTTTTGTGTGTGTGAAAGAAATCTTGCTAGACCTATTTGAAAAGTAAAAGGCATCAATAAAGTTATTAATTTGGTTTTTGTTTTGTAGAGGTGAATGTATTTCGATTGGAAATGGAAGGCATTACAGTCAAAGGAAAAGGTTGCCCCAAACCAATTAAATCTTGGGTTCAGTGTGGAATTTCTATGAAGATCCTAAATTCTCTCAAAAAGTAAGTTGTGATGGCTGTCTACATTTTCTAAGTATTGGCACTCAGTTGAGCCTTTCACAAAAATATCTCCCAAGGTTACAGTTTTACTCTAATAAAACAAAACTTCTTTTTCTTAAACAGCTTTATCGAGATAATTTACATATCGTAAAGTTTATGCTTGAAAGTATACAATTCAGTGGTTTTTAATATATTTGTGTAGTCGTAACCATCATCATAATTAGAACAGTTTTATCATCCTCAAAAGAAACCTGTGTCTATTAGGAGTCAATCTTCTCTTTTCCCTTGCTATCATCAACAGTCAAGTCTACTTTTTGTCTCTGGATTTGACTATTGTGGACATTCCATATAAATAAGATATAATATATATTTTGTGACTAGCTTTTATTTACATAGCATAATGTTTCAAGGTTTATCCACATCATAGAATATATTAGTACTTAATTTCTTTTTATTGCCAAATATTTTCTTATATAGATATATCATGTATGGGAAGAGCTTATTCTAACAGAATTCTGAGAGTCCCAGATACTCCAATTCATACCTTGTGTTCTTTTGGTTTTCTTTATAAGGCACGGCTATGAAAAGCCCACACCAATCCAAACTCAGGCGATTCCTGCTATAATGTCTGGACGAGACTTGATTGGCATTGCTAAGACAGGAAGTGGGAAGACCATTGCTTTCCTGTTGCCTATGTTTAGACACATCATGGATCAGAGGTCATTAGAAGAAGGAGAAGGACCAATAGGTACAGCTTTTTTCATTAATCTAGTTTCTTCAGTTTACAGCTTTGTCATCAGTTAATCAGAAAGTCCTGATACTTTATAATGTTCTTAATTATGACAATAAAGATGTCTTTATGTACATTTCCTTTATCAATTTGGCATCTTTGGGGCTGATTTCCCCTTACCAGCAGGTGGAGTGAGAATCTTCAGAGCTCTGGACTGACATCTCAGAAGTACAAAAACAGCCTCTCCTGGCACAGCTCAGTTTTTAAACTCTGACTCGGCAGGTAGACCCCTCGTGCATCTATCTGTTTATTTATGTTGAGGTTTGTTCTTAGCCCCAGTATCAGTGGGTATATAAACTCAACATGAAAGATAATAGGAAAATATATTTTCCAATTTTTTTTTTTCCTTAAAGGGCTATGTGAAGTGCCAGCATTTCATTTAGAATTAAGTCTTCAGATCCAGATTTCTTAATTCATTTTATCAGAGATATCTTCTGCAGATTTGAATAGGGTTTTGGAAAATTGTTCACCTCTTCTCTTAGGAACACAGGGCAGGTCTGTTTCTTCTTTGTGCCCCTCAGACCAAGGTTGTTTCTGGAAGCAGTGGTATGGCTTCTGAGCACAGTGAGTTACTTGATTTTTATTTGTTTTGTGATTTGCAGTTGAGAGCTATTTGCATTTTGTTCAACAAAGTATTTTCCTGAGGGTCGAGCGAGGCATTTAACTTGTCACTTGCCTTCCTGTAGTGTTTTTAAAATCTGCTTATTCTTCAGCACAATCTCTGCCGTTACAGTTTTTGAAATGTAATTGTCAGAGATGCATAGAACAAAACAAAAACTAAGAGATTTGAACTTTATTGCAGAGCTAAAACTTAACACATTAAAGCATAACCTCTCAAGAATTTGGTGGTTAGGCCACTGACATGTTTATCTTTTCAGCCGTCATCATGACTCCAACTCGAGAACTGGCTTTACAGATTACTAAAGAATGTAAGAAGTTTTCAAAGACCTTGGGACTTAGAGTGGTCTGTGTTTATGGAGGAACAGGAATCAGTGAACAGGTAGTTAAGAGAAAGAAACACTTTTTTTTATGTTTTCTTCAAATTGAATGATTCAGTAAAATACCATAAAAGTGATTTTTCACTACAGTGTTTTGAATAGTACTTGCTTCTGAAGTTTTAAAAAAGGTGAGGTGTGAAAATAACAGTAAGAATTAATTATACTAGGCAGGATGATTACATTCTAAAGATCTAGTTTATCGCATGATGGCTATCATTAATAATACTGTGTGATATACCTAAAAGTTTATTAAGAGGATGGATTTTTTTAAAGAATTATTTAACTTTACTTATTATTATTGTCATTATTATTTTCTAGTTTGGTCAGACAGAGAGAGAGAGAAAGTAAGCCATGGCCCAGGAATTGAACTGTGGTTGGCCATGTGGGAGTTCAGCACCTTTAACCACCATGCCACCTGCCGGCCTGAGGGTAGATCTTAAATGTTCTTATCACACAAAAAATAAATCTGTGACTATGTTTGATAATGATTAACTCGATTGTGGTAATCATTTCATAATGTACTTGTAAATCAGAACATTACATTGTCTACCTTAACTATATATAATATCATTTGTCAGTTATACATCAGTAAAGCCATAGGGGAAAAGGCCAAATTATGCTAATGCTGTACTTTAGGTTCTGTGAGTCATTTTTACTTAAGTTTGTTCCTCCTCCTCCTTCCCCTGCCCAGGGAAGGCAGATACTTTTTCCATTTTACAGATGAGAAAATATTCACAAAAAGTAAGTTGGTCAGTTAGGTTAGTAAGTACTAGAGTTTGACCTAGAACCTGGGCTTCATTCTAAACCATAATGTTTTTCTCTTAACACATGTGGACTTCTTTAAAAGGTAGAGATGAGTGGGATACGTTAGTATCCGTGTTTTGCCTATGGTCTTAAGTAATTCTAGCACTGGTGATTTAAAGAAACCCTGACTCTATTGCCTTTTTAATTTGTTTCTAAGGTTTTTTTTCTCCTTTTTTTGGCTAGGGTGCATGTATTTCCCAGAGAGAGAGTGAGTGAGAAAGCACCTCCCAGGGAAGATGGCCATGCTGCAGTCCCTTCTCCATTCTTCTCCATTCGTCTCTTGGGATTCTGGGCACACATGAACCCAGCATGAGTTTCTAACTGCTGGGTCTGGATTTTGAACCATGAAGTTGGCCATGTGGAATCCAGCCGCTTAACCTCCACACTGCCTGATGGCCCAAACCCTGACTCTTTTTAGTTTGGCATTTTCTGAGTGTCTTTTTTTTTTTTTTTTTAAACAAGAACACAAATTCATTTTTATTCATTTACTTTTCATTATTTTAAGTCCTTGAGGATGCACAGTATCACTGATTCTGTGTCCAATGGCCTTAGGAGGAAGGTTGCTTCAGAATTTGACTCGAACAATGGCTTGAACCATGTCATTGTTTCCATGGGGATGAGTAACCTTTCTCCAGATGAATCTGGTTTTATTTGGTTTGCCACCAGGAGCCATTGTGTTGTTTTTGCTTTGTACTCATAAGTACACCTCTTGCCTGAATAGAATTCTGTTTCATTTCGGCATAAATACCTTCAATGTTAAAAAGAACTGTGAACTCCCTTTGGTTCATGAGACCCCACCGATAGCCTGGAAAAATGGCTGTGCATCACAGCCTTCCAGACACAGTTGCTGTGTAGAAGTTCTGTTTCTTCCAGGCCCTGGTTATTTGTCCCCAAAGCTCAGTAGCAGAACCCTCCTCTGAGTGTCTTCTAATGAATAATAGTCAACAGATATTTAACTTAAATAGAAAAAGGAAACAAGTGGGTTTTATGATCAGTAAGTTTTGGAATTATTAAAAAAAAATAGGTTTTGTTCTTGCAAGACCAAAACCTCTTTTTATTTTTTTTTTTTTTTTTTTTTTTTTTTTTTTAAGAATTATTTATTTGGGGGTTGGCAGATGACATGGTGGTTAAGGTGCCGGACTCCCACATTGCTGACTGCGTTTCAAGTCCCAGATCTGGCAGCTTGTTTTCTCATAGAGTCCCAGATCTGGCAGCTTGCTTTCTCATAGTATCTCTCTCTGTATCTCTCTGGTCAAATTGAATAATAATAGTAATATTAAATTAAAAATTCTCTTCAAAAGCGTTTTTATTATATTCTATTTGTTGTTGTTATTATTATTTAATTTGACCAGAGAAAGGGAAAGTGAAAAAACAAGCCACCAGTTCCAGGACTCGAACCTTTGTTGGCCCTGTGGGAGTCCAACCACTGTGCCACCTGCCAGCCCTAGACTTACGGAGACAGAGAGACAGAAAGCAAGAAATCACTCCCCAGGGAGGATGGCCATGCCACAATCCCTTCTTCATTCTCCTGTCTGGATCTTGGGCACGCACCCACGCACGCACATGTGCCCGGCGTGAGTTTTAAGCCACCGCGGGACACGAACCGTGGTCGACTACATAGTCCAGCAACATAGCCCTTACGCTAACTGCTGGTCCCATAGACTTCTTAATCTTTAATGAGCTAATGTATTGTGTGATAGTAGAAAAATGGGATAAGTTAGTTGACATTTTCTTAACCACAAAACTCCTTTTTTAGGATAAGGGTTACATGAACATACTTTGGGAATATTTGCTTAATGTTCTCTTAAACACTTGAACTTGGTTTATTTTCTAAGTTTATCTAAATGTCATTTTCTTAATGATAGCTTGTAGTAAAAAATATGCTTAAAATATAACTCGGAGGGGCTAGCACGTGGCGTAATGGTTAAGATGCCGGACTCCCATGTGGCTGACTACAGTTTGAGTCCTGGACTTGGTGGCTTACTTTCTCACTTTGGTGAGTACATGTGCCATATAGCAAATTAAAAACAAACAAACAAATAAATAAATAAATAAAATAATCTAATACATACATTGTACATATGTGTATACACACACATATAAATAACTTGGGGGCCAGCCAATGGCATGGGAATTAAGGTGGCTGTATCCCTCATGGCCATCTGTGTAGTTCAAATCCCAGACTTGGTGGCTTGAAAATCATACCTGCTCAAAATCCCAAAAGGAGACTAGAGGAGAAGGAATTGTGGTGTGGCCATCTCTGTAGGGGGTGATTTCTCACTTTCTCTGTCTGTCTCTTTTGTTTTTCTCTGGTGAGCATGTGTTCCCTATGGCAAAACTAAAAGAAAATAAAAAATTAAAATTAAATTACTTGGTATTTGCATGCGTATTATAGTTATGTAGGAATGAAACAAAAGTTTTGTGATGTCTGTGGCATTCTATTATTTAACCTTTCTAGTTTTTCTTTCTTTTTTTAAAATTTTTATTTAGTTTTTGCTATAAGGCGTGTGCGTTTGCCAGAGAGAGTGAGAAAGCGAGAAATTTATTTATGATTAAATAGATTTTATAGGGGCCGGCAGATAGCGTGGTAGGTAAGGTTGCTTGACTCCCACATGGCCGACCGCAGTTCAAGTCCTGAACCTGGCAGCTTGCTTTCTCGCTTTACCTCCCTCTCTCTCACTTTGTCCCTCTAAATAAATAAATAAGTAAATGAACTTAAATAATTCTTAAAAAAAATAGATTTTATAATTGTCTAATGGTGGCAGTTTGAAAAATACTAATCTGTATGATCACTTGTTTTTATTGTTCTTTTACATTTCTTTCTTGATTTTGAGGGAAGAGGCAAATTAAAATTGGTAAAACCACTTTTCTTTGGTTCAAAATTTATGGCATCCTACTGCTGCTACCTATCTCTGTAGTAGTGCTGCAGCATTCCAGTGAATTCAGTCGGAGGCTTTGGTATCTTCTAATCAGACTTCATTGTTTTTTCTTGGAGAGCTGTGCAAGAAGGACCATCTGTAATATTTTGTTTATTTATTTTTACTAGAGGGCATACATGCTCGCCAGAGACAGACTGAGAGAGAGGGAGGAGAAATCATCACCCATAGGCAGTGGTCACACCACAGTCACTTTCCTATCTCCCTGCTTTTGGGATTTGGGGCATGCATGTACATGTGCCTGGTGTATTTCTCAAGTTGCCACTTTTAGGACTTGAACCACATGGTCAGCCATATGGGTCTGGTTGCCTTAACCACTAGACCATGGAGCCAGCCCCAGATGTAATATTTTCAAATCTTGAGTCAACCTCAAAAGCCTAGTGGTATAAGAAACAAGATTCCATGGTTGACTGTGGTTTGAATCCTGGCCCCAGTAGCTTGAAAACATACTTTTATGCGTGTGTGGGCACTCAGGATCCCGACAGGACGGAGAAATGGAGTAGAGGTTGGGGTGTGATTACACCCCATGAGGGGAAGTCCTTTCTCCCTCCATCTCTTTGTTTCTCTGGTGAGCACAGGTGCCATCTGACAATTAAAAAAAAGAAAGTAATAATAAAATCTGTGTAAGCCCATACTTAGTAATACCCCACTGCATGCTGTTCTTCAACATGCTGAGGCCATATGGAAGACCTTAGGCCAGTTCCTGTCCTACCTTAAATAAAGAGTCCATAGGGTGGTGCATGCTTATAACCCCAGCTACTGGGGAGGCTCAGGGAGGAGGACTGCAACATAGCAAAACCTTCAGTACCTCCCCCTCCCACACACATATGCAAGTGATAAAAAAAGCTACTTAAGCAATATAGTATAAAATGTCATCTTTTTCATTAGATTGCTGAACTGAAAAGAGGTGCTGAAATTATTGTTTGCACACCTGGTCGAATGATTGACATGCTTGCAGCTAACAGTGGTGAGTTGGGGGTATTTTTTGTTCTTTTTTTTATCTTTGAATTCTATACATTTTTGTTAAACCAGATACAAGAAACCATCAAAGGGTTTCTGCATTTCTTCTTAAAGCTGTAATATCTTAACATTTGTATTGTAACAAGTTTTTTGTTATAAGCATTGGTCATATTTTAGCAGTTTAAAATTTCACAACCAACTCTGTTTATCTTAACTCAGATTCTTAATCCAGTTTTGACCTACCTTTGCTCTTAAGAAAGTGGGGTACTATCTTTTACTATGAAATTTAGACTTTCTCTGCAGGAGGCTAGTATTTTCTTACAATACTAGATAAATTAAAATATTGCAGCTTCAAGAAATTTAATCTTTTGTAAATATTGCATGTTTTTAGCTCAAATGTTATGCTTTGTTAAATTATTCCCTATCAAAACTGTTACTAAACTGTTGACATTATTTAACTTCTGTGGAGAAAGGCCCTTCAAGATTTATAGAACTGGGCTTCCGAGACTTAAACCATCAAAGGTAGGTAATTTAATGCTGTTCCTAACCTTGAAAAACTAATTGGAGCTGCAAATGTTAGTGTGGAAGACTTAAATATTAGAAAGCACTTATATTGGCTCATTTTTTATTTTTTGAAGGAAATGCTTTCAAAAGTTCCATTGTAGTATTCATAATTTACACAGTAAAATAGTAAAATTTGTGAGAAATGCATGTTTCTAATAGCATTATGCTTGAATTTCTGTATAAACCTAATGAAGTTGGCAAAATTGCATCAAAATTGTTTTGAGTCATTGTGCTTGTACAACATATACATAGTTTTGGGTTGAATGCTGATGAAATAATTCCTTGTTTTTTCTCAATGCTGCATTAAGTGTTCTCTTGAAATTCATCTTGATTAATTTTACCTTTTTTCCCTTATCTGTCCTTTTGGTTTACCTTTTAATAACTATTTTATACATGTTTTTGCCAGGTGATTAATACAACAGTTAATAGCAATATTTGTTTAATCTGTTAGAAAGGGTTTTCTGTGTAAATATATCTATATAAAAATTTCACTGGTTTAGAAGCCAGGTACATTTGTTTAAACCAGTGGGAATATTTAATAAAATTAGATTTATATCTTCGTGTATAATAATGTATTTATGTAATGCATTAAATATGTAAAGCTTTTATGTAATACTCTAGTTACCCAGGGACGTTGAGTTGAGTCTCAGTAGTGGTTTAACATGCCCATATAAGAAGCTTCTAACTATATGGAAGTAAGCTATAAAGTAATACAGAGAGAAGTTTTCTGCGTCTGAAATAGTTAGCACTGGAACTTGCTTTCCACACATACGCTGTAATCTCTAATATGTTTTTTCCTAGGTGATGCTGTCAGATAATGGCTGATGTGGCTCGATGCTTCATCTCAGTCTTAGTTTTATGATGTGTTTTGGAGAGGGCTGTTTTCTGAATTTTACAGGTTCTTCAGGCCCTATGATGGTATGCAAGAGACGAGTTTGACAAAATAAAGGGCCTCATATACCCATTGTCAGAAAGTATTTACCATTAGATTAAAGCATTGTAGACCAAATTTTTTTTTTTCACTTTTTAAAGATAACTAACGTACCCCTCTGGTTAAGTCAGGCATTTTAGTTCCCTTTACAGTTTTTTAAAGTTCTTGGTAGTCATAAAATGAATTGTGATTGATTTTAATTTTTTTTTTGTCTTTATTTTTTTCTTCTCCTCTTAGGTCGGGTCACAAATCTTCGAAGAGTGACATATGTTGTATTAGATGAAGCAGATAGAATGTTTGACATGGGTTTTGAGCCACAGGTAATCATTACATTTTGTAAGTGTTTTGATATGTAAAGATAATCTTGTAACTACTATGCGAATGACATTTTTGTGTAGTTTCTGAAATTCTATTTCATGGTAATAGAGAGTATAGGGAACATATGGAATTCAAATAGATATTTAGGTTTAGATTCTTCATCCTAAACTTGTTTAGGATGTAGTTTTGAAAGTTTCCCTTAGCCTTCTAAAACCGTAATTAGTAAAAGTTGAATTAGGGGGACCAGCAGTGGCAAGCTGGTTCAGGGTGCTGAACTCCCACATGGCTGACCATGGTGTGAGTACTGGACCTGGCGGCTTGCCTTCTCACTTTCTCTCTTTCTGTCCCTTTCTGATCAAATTAAAATAAATAAAATAATTCTTTTTTAAAAAGTTGAATTGGAGCACCAATAACAAAACCTTAAGTGTTCATGTGTTTCAGTTTTCATTGTCTTTCCAACTAAGTGGCTTTAAGTCATGCTTTTAACTCCCTAATGATTATTAGATACCATGTTAAGTTATATTTACCAAATATAAAAACTAAGGCCCAAGACATTTGCGCTTAGATTTTTAATATTCCTTATACATGCTATTTGCTGAAGTATAATAGTTTAGTGATCGAATTTATAGAAACATGTTAAAAGGTGTTAATAGAAGTTTTTTTAACTACAAGAGCAGTGTGAGTTTTCAGTAGACTATGGATGCCAAAAAAAATTCACATTCGCAGACGGCAGTAATAGAAATGGATGTGGAGAAGGAACAGGTAAAAGACATTTATTTATGTAGTCTCCAAAAAGGTATTTCCTGTCATATGATGGTTTATATATTCTGTTTAGGTTTGGGAACTGCATTTAATTTATTTCTTTTTAAATAGTTAGTTAATTTTATCTATTAATATTATTTTTTAATTTGCTTTAGGGCATGTGTGCTCATCAGAGAGAGAGAGAGAGAAAGCTGCCAGGGACTTGAACCATAGTCTCTCATATGGAAATCCAGTACCTTAACCACCATGCCATTTGCTGGCTCCCAGGAACTACATTTTACAGAGATCTAAATAGAGAAGCACTAAGGAGAGTAAACCAGGATTATAGTATTGATTGAACCACAGGAGAAACAGTTTAAAGAATAATGGGGGCCGGCAGATGGTATGGTTGTTAAGGGCGCTAGAATCCCACATGGCCAATCATGGTTCAAGTCCTGAACCTGGTGACTTTCCCTCCCACCCCCCACTCTGTCCCTCTCTGGTCAAATTAAAATAAATAAATAAAAGTTAAATAAAACAAGTCTTTAAAAATAAGTAAGGATAACTAATATTGGAGCCAGCTGTTTGTGTGACAGAGAGACAGAAAGTGAGAAACCACTCCCCCAGCAGGACGACTATGCAATCCCTTCTCCTCCATTCTTGTCTTAGGATTTGAGACATGCACACACATCCACCTAGCTTTTTTTTTTTTTTTCCTGGAG